GAACAAATAAAAAAATGAAATAGATTAATAGATAATAATACTAATAATAATAATATAATAATAAAAAATTATTAATAACAAATATAATAAAATAATTTAGGCTCCCCGATGCTCAAACCGGTAGAGCCTTTGTTTGTTTTCTTCTTCTTTTTCTTTGATTAAATAAACCGGTACAAGAATAAGTGTGGGTGAGATCTCTCATGCACAACGAACATACACTTGAGATCTCCCACCAACATGTTGCACAAAACATCAGACAATACATCTTGTAGAAGGACAGGACAGATGATCCTTGAGAGAATTGGCTGAACCTCCGGTTTAGCCAAGCCATCTCTGATTCTCCTTAGCTCCTTCTTCCTCTTCAACATTGGTTTGTGCAACATTACCCCTCAACTCTCCTAAGTTTTGAAGTTTAAAACTAAACAAATTAAAAAGGCAAAACTTTTGACGCTCTATCTCCATGCTATCCTTTGATTAAATTTACAAACTCCTTATTCCTCGCTAATATTCCTATAACTTGTGAACAAATTATGATAGGGACCCCATGTTATCTAAGTAATTGGAATATGTGATATAGTAGGATGGAAATGAACCTTGCTCTCTCATATGAAGAACCTGGGATTTATCTTACAAAATCAAAACTCAAATAGCATGCTCCTCAATGATATACAAATTCCTACCAGAGCCATATCTAGTGCTTTGAGCTTAAAACCTTCATAAATATGCTACTTATTTCTGCATTGAGTTTTGTCAAGTCTTGTTGACCCTTGTTGAGAAAGTTATCGTGCCTCCAAGATCAAGATCACGTACATGCCACATATATAAGCTATTCCTACACCGGGAATACGCTAAAACACGCCTCTGTCCACCAAAAAAAATATTCTACTCCTACACTGGGAGTAGACAAAAAAATATGCCTTAAAATAAATACTCCATGTTCTACAAAATAGAGATCTCTCTCAATATGTGGTCTAAGAGACATGGGTTATGCAAAAGTATAAAAAAAGTGAACACAAGAAGGTCCAAGAAGAAAAAAACAGATATATGGACACATGAAAGGTCCAATTATATATATGAAAAAATGGTGAGCACATGAAGGCTCATGCAAAATGATAGCCATGTTCTCATAATATAAGTTTATGAGAGAGATCACTCATATCAAGGAGTATAGTTTATGTTTAAAATTATTTTATCCACACACTTGCACTTCTTGATCTAAAGGTATGACATCTTTCTCCTTGGATCCGAGATTTAACTTAACAAAATATACAAAGTAAGTATGCCTTCGTATCTTTTCCTATCCAAAGATCCATATAAGCTTTCTAGAAGTAGGAAAGAAAGAAGGCAACACTATAATATGCCTTGGTGAGGAACCAAAAACAAATATGAGCGATTTGAGCGAATCATTTAAGGAGCTAAGCTATGTTTATATTTTTAAAAATCAAATGAAAAACCCAAGTTTCTGAACTAATTGATGCAGGGGGATTTGAATCCATGCTGTTTTATTATTCAATCACCCAAGATAATATGGTAGACACTTCAAAGTTCACAAGTGCAGGTGAAGCTTGGAATAACCTATACGCAAATGTCACATCAAGGAGATGACCCATGTTAGTTCTTAACTTTACTCGAGGACGAGCAAAGGGCTAATTATGGGGGAGTTTGTTGGCGGTTCTTAACTCACATTTTTACCACCAACAATTATATAAAATCCATCCAAACAAAACACCAAACTTAGTAAATAGGGTCTTACACTAACATATTCCATGAGTTTTGGTGAGTTGATCATTTTCAGGACATATCCATGGAAAACAAAGGAAAACATACTAAAAGGCACAATCCAGAGAAGCGTAACGCAGACTTTGTGCAAAGGAATCAAGAGAAGGCCCACTCAACCAAAGAAATTGGGCTAAGCATCGATGTAGTAGAGGTCCAGGCCCAGCCAAGAATCCACTAGAACAAGGCAATGGCTAGGCACGCCAGGCAGGGTGCGGCCGCACCCAGGGTGCCCCCGCACCACAACCTAGCCCGTTTGGCCCCACCTTTGGTCGGTTGACACATACCGCCTTGCCCAACGTCGGTGTCAAGGTGCTTGCCAGGTTCAATGTACTTAAATGATGGTTTAGGGTCGGTTTACTCCTTCCATATGGGGATCAAGCATATTTCCAAGAACCCCCCTCCTCTCCACCTATAAAAGGAGGACCTCTCCCCCTCATAACAACAACACACAAGAGAAGAGCACCAAAGCAAGAGCAAGAGCAACACCACTCCATGGGCTTAGGCCCTAGCTAGCTCTAGAAGAGAAATAGGGAGAGATGTGAGGGAGAGTTTGGGGAAGAGCCGGACTTGTCGGTGTCTCCCCGCTTATACCTCGACGAACACCGGCTTTGTACCTCAACGGGTATCTTAGTAAGTGCTCGTGTTTTCTTTGGTTATAAAAGTCTGAGTAGTTAAACTATACTCTTACTTGTTCGCGGGTTCGTCGTGCATCCCCATGGCGGATACTCTAGTAGAGGGCTCCCGATAAAGACGGATCACCTTGATCGACACTAGAGTAGTAATCGATAGCGTAGACGTGGTGTCTAGGCTAGAGGCTACCTTCATTTGCCTCATACTCCACGGTTGAGGGGTAGGCGGCAGGTGGTGACAGCCCTGTCCGTCCCTCGTAATCCCCCACGTCCGGGTACGGCGTGAGCTACAGGCCGACCTCACCTGGCAGACCAGGTGTGATCCGGTGCTCGAATTAAGCAAGTAGGAGTGAAGTTTATCAGTCCTTAGACCCTAAATTTATAGGGACCCATCTCTACCCTCAGCAGCTATCATTGTGTTGTCCTTGGACGAATTAGCTAGAAGAAATACCTTTCCCTGTGGAAATACGATACCCTGAATACTTCCGGGTGAAAGCTACAACGGTAATTCCGTACGCTTGCGGATTCTTTTTGTAAACGTTAAGAAATACCAACAATGTCTTGAGGTTTTGAAGCAACGTGAGTGAGTTGGGTTTGTTTCACGACACGTGGTGCCTTAGTTTCCAAAACAAACACAAAAGGAATCCGATCAGAACATCTTGTATTTGGATTTGAATTAGGATTCCTAGTTATATTCAGGTTATTTGAAGATGCCATACATATGTCGAAGATATATAATGCGAGAGCTATAGACAGATGTGAAGAGGGACAATTTCCATATTTACGGAGTTAGTTACGAGGAGGTGGACGAAAAAATGGGTGGACGAAAAAAAAATGGTCGAAAATTTTGCCACTTTATTATTAGGTATAGATATATATATATATATATATATATATATATATATATATATATATATATATATATATATATAGATATAGATATTGATGTAATCCTTTTTTGTGCAGCAAGCTAAAGTGGATTGTATTCGTTGTTGTTAGCCCACAAAAGATTCATATTTTTTTGAAATACATTTTTATTTTATGATTTTTTAAGATAAAACACTTCTTTTCACGAATCGGAATCTAGCGTACCTACCAAACAATCTCATGAAGTGATTTTGCATTGATTCATCATATAAAATGTTTCCTGAGAGAATCTAGGTTCAACTCGTTTTTAAATGAATATGAATCCCTGGCAAACGTACCTTATTTAGAATCTAAAGACCTGCCTGAATAGCAATTTCGGGACCAAATTGAGATGCCCAACCCAGTTGACGTTGATGACATGGCATACCTGCGCGATTCGGCAACATGGACCCGGCTCTGGATCCATGTTTCACGTACCATCCTTGGCACCCAATCACACTCTGGTGCACATGCAACGACTTATTTGCCGGGAAGTCTCTCATCTATAGCAGCAGGAGATGTGCTAACAGTAACATGGCAGTCTGATGCGAAGAGTTAGCTGAAGACGGTAGATGGGCGTGTTACAAGGGAAAAGCCACAGCCGGTAAGGTCTTTGAGTCCCGTTGCGTTGTCCAATTTCTATTGGCCACAAAATGCATGTATGTGTGCTTCCTTCAGTGCATGGAAGATCGGGTGCATATGCTTTTGTGTACCATATACGCACACTTTGGACTTGTCTCTTCTCTCTGCTCATCTCACACAAGTCACAAAGTCACACCCTAAAGGAAGTCAAATAAAGCAACGGACGCGCATTCACCCAATCTTTGCGATATTGCTATGTAAAATCCTTCAGATCTTGTACTTATACCACAACATAAATCCCTGGCTACCACGCGTGAGCCGTGTTTCAAAACGGGTCCGGCGGAGGACTACGCATTAACAAGCACGCGTGCGTGAATTAGCGCGTCCCAAAACCCCCACGAACGTGCGCTCGCTGATCCCGAATCCCAATTCATCAGCTTTGGGCCTTTGGCCCGCCCGCCGCGTCGGAAGCCGTCCACTTCCTCGCTTCCCGCAAGGCCGCAACGCTCTCCGATCGCGTCCTTGGTTGCTCGGTCGATCGCCGCCGCGCGGGACTGCGCAAGCGGCGGGCGGACCGGCGGACGCGTGCGCTGCGCCGCCGATCGACCCGCCTCAGAAACTTCACGGAGCCCGCCGCTGGGAGGGGCCCCTATTTTGCTGGTACGAACGCAAGAATCCCCTTCTGCGTGCCGTTATGTGTAAAATAAATCTGTGGTCTCCATCGGGGGGTTTCGGGTTCATCACTCCGAGTCGGTGTGGTAGGTGCCGGTACCTGTGCCCTGGGTGCGTCCAAATTGGTGTGCGCAAGGATCGCACACCAAGTGTCCGACGGTGTGCCTGAGAGGAGCTATAGCCCGCTCGCGTTGCCCTTGTAGCTTCAGCTTAGTGGTTCTACTTTAGGTCGTGATTTCGATGGGAATTCGGGGGTTTTGTTTTTGTCTCGCTGGCTGTTGTGTTTTGAACATTTGATATTAACATGTGTGTTATGACATATGACCTTCTCATTCGTCTGATCTGGTGGACCATGCTCACTCCTTCCCTTGGTACACAGGCCTCGGCTGAGTGTTGGTTCAGTTCAATCGAGAGAGCAGCACAGCTACAACAATGTTGGACCACCTGATTTCCATGCTGATGGATGCGGTTGGAGTGTTGCCGGCTAAGGATCTGCAGGTCGAAGAGGCTTTCGGGTTCTCAACTCACTCAGAGACGGTCTGTGTGGTTTGCAAACTGGCCATCTCTTCGTTTGAAGCCTCATGGAAACCTGACAGCTGTGACCATGTCATCTGCATTCCATGCTTCTGGCAATATGCACCTGAGATGGAGGCCACGGGGCTGCCTAGGTGTGCAGTGCCTTCTTGTGAATCTTTGTGCAAGCCCGAGACCACTCTGGGGATCAATGTGGGTCATGGCACCTTCATCTCAGTTGCAGGCATAAACAGTGGCAAGGGGAAAGAACCGTTGGATGGAATGCTTCAGGAGCTAGGCCAGTGCTCTCGTGGTGTGGATCCAATGTCCAGCAGTGACTTCTACTGTGCCATATGCATGGAGACCGTGCATGTCAGAGAGCTCTTCCCCGTACCCGGGTGCACACACCTCTTCTGTGTCAGCTGCATGAGCCAGTACATCGCTGCTAAGGTTGAGAATGATGTGTTCTCCATTGGATGCCCTGAACCAGGTTGCGATGATGGTGTACTGGACCCAGAGGTGTGCCGTGACATGATCTCATCGCAGCTGTTCCAGAGGTGGGGAGATGCACTCTGTGACTCAGCACTGGGGGCATTCGGGTTCCACTGCCCCTTTCAAGGACTGCTCAGCATTGCTGGTCAATGAACGTGGCCCTAACGAGGCAGTAATAAGGAAAACCGAGTGCCCACACTGCTCCCGGATGTTTTGTGCACAGTGCAAGGTGGCATGGCACTCCGGCGTCACCTGTGAAGATTTCCAGCAGCTCAGGACTGATGAACAGGGCCGAGATGACCCGCTGCTTAGGAAGGTCGTCGTGCATGAGAATAAGTGGCAGAGGTCCCAGCAGGTCAGGAATGATGAACAGGGCCGAGATGACCAGTTGCTTATGAAGGTCGTGCATGAGAATAAGTGGCAGAGGTCCCTCCGGTGTTTGGTAGCTACATGTAAATCTTTGTGGAAGTCTGAAGCAAATCGGATGATCGATGTGGGTCATAGCACCTTTGTCTCAACTGAAGACATGGACAGACAGAAACAGAAAGAAGCGTTGGATAATATGCTTCAGGAGCTAGGCCAATGCTGCCCTGGTGGGTATGCGATTGCCAGCAGTGAATTCTACTGCACCATATGCATGGAGTCAGTGGACGTCCGGGAGCTCTTCCCCGTTTCTGGGTGCACACACCTCTTCTGCGTCAGCTGCGTGAGCCAGTACATCACTGCAAAGGTCGAGGATAATGTGTTGTCCATTGGCTGCCCTGAACCGGGTTGTAAGGATGGTGCACTGGACCCAGAAGTGTGCCGCGACCTGATCCCGCTGCAGCTGTTCCAGAGGTGGGGCGCTGCCCTCTGTGACTCGGCGCTAGGTGCATTCAAGTTCTACTGCCCCTTCAACGACTGCTCGGCATTGCTGGTTGACGAACGCCGCCATGGTGAGGCAGTGATAACACAAGCTGAGTGCCCACACTGCTGCCGGATGTTCTGTGCGCAGTGCAAGGTGGCATGGCACGACGGTATCACCTGCGCAGACTTCCAGCGGCTTGGCAAGGATGAGCGGAGCAGGAATGACCTGCTGCTGAGGAAGGTCGCGCAGCGGAGCAAGTGGCAGAGGTGCCCCAAGTGCAAAATGTACATCGAAAGGACCGAGGGCTGCGTGTACATCGTCTGCAGGTACTGTATTTTGCTCTTTGCAGGGGAAAAAAAATACATGTGCAACGAGCACATATGAGTGAGATTCTTTGTTGTTCCAATTTACAGGTGTGGGCATCGCTTCTGCTATCTCTGCGCATCCCCAATGTCACGAGGCATCCATCGTTGCAGTAGGTGCAAGAGGACCTGGTGAATGACCTCAAGCTGCAAAACTCCACGTGTGTGACGTGAGGGAAGTTCTCAACTCCATATTAATTCCAGTAAATTGCTAGTGTGACTTGGTTAACGTTGGCTCGTGCAATTATTATTTGGCAAATCAGTATCAATGGAGCTCTGTTAGTTAACATAAAATATTTACGATGGAGCATATATAATTCAGGTAGCAGTGTATTATAATGTAAAAAAAATGAAACGTCAGAAACTTGGATAATGTAGGTACTTATGAGAGAGCTGATGACTTTCTTATGAAGAATGCATAAGGTACTACTACTACCTTAGTGAGAACTAGATGTGTTCCTCTTATATTGAATCACTGAGCATGTGAATGAACTTAATGAACTTACAATTCCAATAGCTAACTTTATGATCGATGGCATGCACGTATGGTTCTCTTCTGTCATGCCTAAAATGTAGTTCTACTGACTTAGTTGGTTATAAAGTTTTCTTCTCGAAAGAGGAGAAACGGGTGAATATGTACTGTGAAGTTTCTTCTCTTCTGCTGCAACTAGCTCCTAAACTTCAGCAGGGCATGTCAAGAAAAAGTAACAGGTGCACATGTACATTGACCTCCATGTAAACAGCCTTTATATTGCCGGATTGGCCCGGTTCTATGGCTGAGCCATGAAGAGACGTCTGTGTAGCAACTTCGTTTAGTCTTAGTACTCTAGCCTTATCCAATAGCGACATCTGAACAAACAAACTGATGACTTTCTTACGCGAAAAGTATCAGGTGCTCAGTAAGTAGAAAACAGCTAGGTCTGCCCCTTTTATGAAATCACCAATATGTAAATGAAATTCCTGTGGACTTCAGGAGCACTTCCTTATACGGATCTCTCAAGTTTTTTTTGTTTTTGTTTTTTTGGGCATGCATGCATCTGGTTTGATCTGTCAGCCGTCAACCGATCTTTATAATGTAACCGGTATCCTCCAATTAATTGGCTTAAAAGCAATGTCAGTCCATCGATTTCAGAACTAATGTCACCCGTAAATGTTTCTTGAGTGTTTTTACGAAGTTGAGCAGCTGTTTTCTTTTGATCGTCACTAGCACTACCTCCGTTCCACAACGCTTTTAGTAGCATCCGTTTCGGCCTGATCATACTAACATTCAATTCAGTGAAAGGTGCAGGGCTTAAGATTTGCCTAAACAAATGGGAAGTGCTATTCTTCAGTTGCCTAAAACTGCGTAGACGCGTTCATGGGTCGTTGGACAACACCAGGAACCAGGCTGGTACCAAGCCAAGTGGATCCGTCACGATGCCACATGGCGCGTTGGGCGGTGAGCATAGGGTCGCCAGTTGAATTAAACCCCAACCCCAATGATCGGAAAACTAGGCTAGGCATCTTCTGTAAGTTTCCAAGTTTGTTCAGCAGGAATGAGATACTCCCTCCATAAAATATACAATTTTAAGTTTTGAGAAAAAAAACCTAATTAATCATTTGTTTGTGTAGGACTAGATACTAGTTATGGTTTCAAAGTGCATAGAAAAACTATATATCTACAAAACCAAAACGTGTCATAATTCGGAATGGAGGGAGTACTTATCAAAACCTATACAAGATGACATCTAGATGTGGATTATGTTTTTGCTAAGTGTTGCTATTTCTAACCGAAAAGAGTTATGCACCTAAGTTCTAATCATGTGAGACTAGGAAAGCTAAGAATATAACCTAAGGAATGCAAGTAAGTCTGGAAACATAAATGAGTCAGAGAATGCAAACTCCTACAATGACGATTTTTCCCAAGGCATTGATAAGCTCATGCTTCTCCCTAGTCCTTGTTAGAGCTCATCGCAATGGTCAAACTCCTGGTTGGGTAACTTCATAGATAGCTCACGGGCCTTCTCCACGCACATGGGGATCTCTGTGTGGCTTTCTCCCACACTGCTCTACACCGTCTTCACTATTGAGCTTCTGGCAAAAACACGGCGGGCCTCGTTCCCGTGGTACACCATAGGCGGCCACACCACAAACGTGATTGGTGACTTGGTGTGATCTCACAAAATTATAAGCCCCTTAGGCTAAAATTTTGGTGGGCAAGCACCGAGTAGCAAGAGTTATGAAACCTCACTAAACATTAAGCATAAGCCTAGTGCAAGCAATTATTTGGCAGTCTTATCTAGCCTAAGCACATCGCAAAGCACTAACGCTAACCACTTAATCTTTTCTTAAGCACTTATGGTGGATAGAGCACTTGAATGAGAGCCGCAACCCTCGTACAACTTCAACACACTAACATATCTCATTTGGTGGGGCAAAGGGGTATATATAGCTCCAACTCTAAAACTAGATGTTAACTTTGGATTGCACACTTGCAGCGAGCATCGGAGAGCTCCGGTGACCCACCGCAGAGCTCCGATGCCTACCACATAGACTAGCCGCTGAGCCGACAACTGTCGACCGTTGCCGACTGTTGCAGAGCCTAGCTCTCATGGTGGTGTTTGGTGATCCAACGGATACGCCCCTTCGAGCTCACAACCTGTTGTGCATAATCTCTGTTCCAGGGATCCGACACTAATCTCTGGTGCCTCCTCGAAGGACTCTAGTGCCCTCTGTTGCCTTCCATCGTGCCTCCAACTGCCATGACCCCAAACTCTGATAGTGCGCACTCTGGTGCCATTAGAAGTTTGGCTTGGGTGCCTTCTTCAGCCTTGTGTCTGCCTAGACCAGGTCTGGTGCTCATCACAGGAGAGCTCTAGTGATTCACCTTGAAGCTCCGGTGATCCTGTGTGAGCACTCCCGTGCTCTCTGGACACTCTACTTCTCCGTGCCTTTTCATCCGGGCTTCTTCCACTTGACATCTTTGACTTTTTGCTTCTCTTCTAGGGTTTTTAAGACACCTCCTAATCCTTTGCTTGCAATGTGGATCACTTGATCTTCACCGTTACCTCATCCAAGTCCATCCTTACATCCATAGGACTTAAACCTTATATACTAATGACACACAACATTAGTCAAATTGAACATGTTGAGACTCAGTCACCAAAATCACTTAATAGCCCTAGCTAGGTGCATTTTCCTTACACTTTGTACCGGTAGAAGACGAGGGGTGGTTATTTCATCACCACTCACGATCTTATAGTGGTTATAATGTTATGCAACTAATAAGTGATGAAGGAATGAGCTAAAATGTGGACAACTATGGATGATATCTTGAGGCTCGGCATGTAGCAGGGTGATGTTGGGGGTGGATCTCAAATAGCAGACTCGCTTGGTTAGTTACTAACCATATTTTTGTTGCATCAATCTTGGGAACCTTTTCATACTAACCACAAGTCATGAATGGGAATGACAAGCCTAATAATGTGACCTGTTGTCCAGTGGATTCAGCGCGCTTTGTGATGACGTGTGGCTGAGATGAATCCTAGCACTTCCACTATGACATTCCACCCAAATCACAACCCTATAAAATTAAGCTTTCAAAAAATTCAAAATTATGTTGGTGACGTGAACAGTAGAAATAATAGGGAAGAGTGCAGCTCAAAATTAAATCTGATTTAATTATGAGCTTAGACCTATAAGGCCTTGCATTTGCATGCTATTTAATACTCCCTCCGTTCCAAATTATAAGATATTTTGGATTTTATAGATACATTGCTTTTAGTATGTATCTAGACATAGTGTATATCCAAGTGCATTACGGCAAAAGCTATGTATCTAGAAAAGCCAAAAAGGTCTAATAATTTGGAATGGAGGGAATACATGATGAGTTGCTTCTTAGGGATCTTATATGATTGACTCTCACCTAGTGATATCTTTCTTCAAAGAAAACCTATGCATATATGTGTATACCTATGAGACATTTATAGGACAAAAAATATGAAAGGGACGCAAAATAGGAAAAAAACCCGTCATGGGCTGAACTTCATTGTTCATCACTTCCCTCACCTCCCTAAACCACTGTCCCAACAACCCTATACATGATCCACACTAGCGGTCTATGCCCTCACTCTAGCACATGTCCTCGTTTACCCTATCTCTCTGGCACTGCTAGCTGGGCCCGTGCTGCCACGCGTCGAGGTAAGATGGATCCTTTGCACTCCCCCATATTGCTAGCCCTGCCTCCTTTTCTCACCCTACGACCGTCTTACCTGCCACCTTTCCTAGACCACACTCATGATCCCACTAATCAACCGCCCTAGCTAGCACGCTTGTTGTCCTGTGGAGTCGTGCCCCTAAGCATGCACATGGATGTCATCCTAGCCCTATGCCTTGGTCTTGCTTGTCAGCCACACGACATGATATACCATCGATGTCCCATCTTCTCAGGGCTATCCCTAGGAAAACATTCAGTGGGGATGCTCCTCATGGTGCAGTTGTGAACATCTACTGTGGATTCACAATATGTGTGCATGCGTAACCATCCAACACCTCTCATGCACGAGTGTTGTGAATCCATAGTAGGTGTCCACACGGCTACCACATGGGATCATCCACACTGATTGTTTTCTGGCCCTGGTGATTTCAATCTGATCCATCATCTGTGACATCCATCCACATCATCCTAGCACTTATGGAGTACCGAAGTCATGTAGGCCCTAGTTCGCAACCTTGCTAAGACGACAGGCTAGACGACTAACCAAATCACGCAATCATGACATTACACCACACCGCCATAGCAAAGGGCTGAGAGGAGTGCAACAACATGTCGATGGCCCGGTGACTGCATCCTCAGCTCCTCCTAATTGGCCATCATCCTTGATGCTTGTACCATGGCCAATGATTGCTACTTCAGGCCCCTTGCGCTTCTTTGAAAATTAAGCACTATCATTGTACTCATATTGGTGATTAATTTGTTTGTAGCTTACATACACTTTCACTTGTCATCTTTTGCACATTTATTTAAATTTTAGGATCATGGGATAATGTCATCTAGATAGTACGAATCTAGTAAAGAGAAAAGAAAAAAAAGGATGTGTGGATGAGTTGATATAATCATAGAGAGGAGCTATTGATAAATTTTTTCAAGAGTTAATA